ATTATTCAAACTTTAAATTAGTCAATGTTCTTTATAACATCTCTAGTAAGGGTAAAGAATATTATTGCTCCTATTTGGCACAACACAATTTGCATACTTCCACAACAAAATTTTTATACTTATTATGATTCATGATAAGAAGAAAGATATTTTCATATTAAGTACTTTCTTCTACAAAAACTTTAGTTATCTTTTTAAGTTGTTATTGTAAATATCAAAAATACAAAAAATATTTAAATTTTAAATTCCTGTAAAAAATTGCTTTTAGTTTAAGTAATTATCTTTTTAAAAACAGAAAAACTTTCTAAAAAGTGCATATTGCATAATCTTCTCTATGGGTTTGATATTCAAGTTTTAATAAAAAAGTTCTATATTACTTGATAACTATACATATACTTGCGTAGTATCCCAATATAAATATATATAAATTAAAAAGTTAAATTCTTATTTTTCTTCAGGATCAATTTTTTGGTTTTGTTGCAAAATAAGGAAATATAAGTGAAAAATACCATCATAACTATTGCTATGTTGTGCACAAGCATTAAGTCAAGGATCAGTGAACAGTGTTGATGTTGATGATGATGCGAGAAGATAGAGTTGAGTTGTCATACCTGCCATTGTGTGTCATTTTCCTTTGTGATTGAATGTTGTGGACTATAACATTATTTAAAATTGTATATGTTCTGATTATGCTGAGGACTCTGATGATTGCATTTGTGGATTTTTATGCCATTTTGTGATACATATCCAACTTGCAATATTGTTGATGCTCACCTTGTTTTACTACAGGATCTTCCTTATGTCTTCTAAGTTACTTGTGTCCATATGAGATGCTTTACTACATGTTTTCCTGTACTTTTGCAAATATGTGGATAATGGTATCTACTTTCTTATTATAGTTCATTCATGTGATGTTTATTCCCCATCTTTTACTATCCTTTGCTACTACTATCAAAACTGCTATGTGGTGAGGGTTCAGAAGAAAACAAGTTTAGGGAAAGGAATTTCACATGTGTATTAGCCTAAATATAGTTATACCACTGTGCTCAAATTTCATTTTTTATTATGCATTATGTTGTGAACCCTTGCTATTTGATAATGGAAGGTAAAGAAATAATTTTTTTAGATACTGTGAAATCCATCTAAAAGTTGGAGTTGGAGTTTTTTTTAACAATAAGCTAATACGTTAACTTCATTACCCTTTTTCTTAGCATAAATCCCTCAAACATTTGAAAATGTAGCTATAAAAATGATCAATTACTCCAATGATTTTAAGCCTTAGGTCTTATGTCAAATAATACCACTAAATCTAATTCTGAATTGAGTTATAAGATCCTAGGACCACACATTAAAGGGTAATTAAAATATCTAGCTTAGAGAAAACTAAAAGCTCTTAATTTTTAAAAATCTCATAGAAAAATAATAAAGAGAACATTAAAAAAGAAAAAAAAAGCAAAAGAGAGAAGAAGCAAAGCAGAAAAACACTCTAAATTGGAGCTTGCTTGACAAAGAAAAAGGAGTGCATAAAATATATAGAAGAGGAAACTTGATGTTAAGCAAAATAGAATTTCAACTTCTATGGTCAAGCTAACTTCCCTAACTTAGAAAATTTAATCACATTCTTAATGGGAGTCAAGGATTCTGTAAACCAGGGAAAAATTAAGGGATGACTTATTGTTTGGACAAGAGTTAAGTTTCTTAAAACCACTTGGGATTAATGAAAAGACTTGTAGCCATGCTGAATTAAGTGAATTTGAGAATAATTATGCCAACAAAAAAGGTGATTAAAGAAAAGTATATGTGAGTATAGATTCAAAAAAATCCCCACTAAGGATGGAAATGACAAAATTTTAATAGATTCTCACCCCACATTATCGAAAATGAAGGACAACCTATAAGATTATGTCAAACCTGATTCTCCAATATCTAAGCTGAGTGATAAGATTACTTGAGGGAAAGCAATGTGTAATTTTGTAAGATTTTTTGTGAATGAAATATGTTATAATATGTTGGCATATTAACCCTTATTATTACATATTTTATGATATTATAATACATGAAAAATGTATTTGTATCATTGTGCAATTTACACGGTTTAAGTTGTTTAGAGATTATTTGGAGAAAAAAGGGAAAAAGTTAGCCAAGCGTACTCGCGTCAAGTGTGGGGGCCACCACTGTCAGGCTACCACGAGGAGCGTGCCCACGCTCAGCTAATGTGTTCGCACTACAACCAGACTCGACAGTCCTACGAAAACTAGAGCACAACATACCAACACCACACTTAAGACACAACCATGCCTGAAAGAAAGCACTCTCACATTATCATCAAGACCAATGATCAGTTCCTCCGTGCCTGTCACTAGCACACAAATGCCCGCTGCAGAATTCAATTTTGGAAAGATTTTCTTTCTTTTATGGTGCCACCTCTATAAATATATCTCTTGGAATAATGAGAAGCATCTTTGGATGAATTGAGACTAGGATTTGCTGTAGAGAGGAGTTTTGTAAGTGCCTTACAGGTTTCTCTTCTTATTTATTGAGGGAGAACTACCGACAAGAATGAAAGTCACACAATTGAGGAGAAATACACAAAAGAGACACTTTTAACAGGGAGCACACTAAGGAGTTCATGCAACAACTATTCTATAAGTTGAAAAACCTATTTCTATCATCTTCTGAGAGGCATTGGCTTGGTGGTGAGAGCCAAAAAAATATATGGTTGACTCCCATTAGTTAGAAACACCCTCGGGGAAGGCTGATCGATAATACCTGAAAACTACGGGCGACTGACACCTAGCTCAACAAATGAAATGGATAATCATTTCAAAATTTATTTTTTGTGCTATGATACATGAATTTTTTTTATTTTTTTCTCGGGTTTGATTGAAGCTCAAGGAACTCAAATTTAAGTAGCAACGCCAATAAGGACCCCAAAGAACCTTGGTCGGCAGATCAACTCACAACACTCCCACATCGTGCACATTGGTCCCAAGCTTAAATCGGATAAAGCTCTGGAGATGGTTCAATGCTCAATGCCAATTAGCTATGTGAATGATAAGGTGCAACTCATCATAGCAGTGAGTCTCAATGGTTACCCTCACGAAGGCAACAACAAGGTCTACTTAATACCTGGCAAAAGGTGTTGCCCAACCGAGGCAACAATCAGACCAAGAATCAAGAACTTGAAAATTATAAGATGCAAACTGATTGCCAATACCATAAAATAAACTGATCATGATGTTATAGACGTCTGGTTGGTATAAAATAACAAAGATGATCGACAATGATGTTATAAACTTCAAATAAACGTCTTAACACAAAATATAACCCTCAATGCCAGACATAAAAAAAGTCTGTCTCAAAGCTCAATATGGAAAAAACTATGAAATTGGTTCTCTTCCTTGTACCAACAAGCTTCGCAATGGGTAAGATGCAAATTACCCCAACAGTGAGTTGATGGCCAAAAATGTTGCTCCAAGCTTACTACACCTTTCGGGATGCTAAATCTAGATTTTACTTGTGAGGCATGCCCAAGGAATGGAGTGGAATGAATCGTGAGGGAGAGGTAGAGACAAAAAGAGAGAGGGAGAGAGAAAGAGAGAGTGTACAACGAATTGCCCTTTATTCGTTGTATATTGAGAGTATTCCGGGCTCTATGAGTCATTTATATATTGAGAGTAGAGGTTACAAGAGAGGATAAAGAGTCTTCCTACAGAGTAGGGTTTAGAAAGAAGGGCCCAAAAAACCTTTAATACATAATATAATCCCCTATTTATAGAAGATAGAGGGGGAGAATGTAAAATTACATGTTTTACCCCCTACTTTGGAGGAGTTGTGCAGAGCATTATGGTCTTTTTGAATTCTGGGACTTTTTGCTCGGCATGTCTTTGGGTCGAACAACTGAGTTGTTTTTTGGTCGGCTTTCTCTCTGGAAAGCAGGTTTAAACATGAATAAGATGGATGGTCGGCTTTAGGGCGGCCAGTCAACTTCTCTAATTGTTGTTCTTTGTCAATCTTTAATGATCATTGGTAGAGTTCTTGAGTGAACTTTGTGCTGATAATAATTAGATTGTTGGAGGTACTAGATATTTGTTTGGTTGTTGGTGTGGATGTCTACCCCTTGTTTTCTTTGGTGGCCCTTTGGTCGTCTAAATGACCTACGATTAGTCGGCTCGGTGGATTTTAGCCGGACATATTCATGAGGCCTTTTAGCTTTTCATTAGAGGGGATAATCATTGTATTTCCTTTGATCTAGATCGGTTAGATTGTCTCTAGATTCATGTTGACATATTTTTTTCGTACACCAGAGATTATAGATCGATCCTTGGATAGTGTAACTCAATTTTCTCCAAATAAATGCAACAATCCCCTCTGGTGAGCCTGCTCTTCCCACTTTCCCTTCCTTTTCCTTTGAGTTGTGAATCCATAAACAAGTCAAAATTCAACATCTAGAGTTTTCTAGTTTTGTGAAACCATAGCACACAATTTTGGAATTTTTTTTGGGTATGCTCTTTTGGTGATCACTTCATAAGGTTATGGGTGCCTTGGGCTATATATTGAGCTTTGCAGCCTCATTTTGACTTTAATTATGGCTATTCATTTTATGTTTATGGCTCCGAGGGGCTATTTGCAATTAATCTGGCATATTATAAAACTATACTTTCTGCCGGTGCTCTAGACAAGGATGACAACTGTATCCATAACCTTCTCCAATTTTTTTTTTTTCATTTAGTTATTTAGCTGGTTAGGAGATTTATATTTAATAAATGAGATAAATTTTGTGATGGAGATGGAGCTCTTGATGTCATAATAAATCCGATAAACTTAGCTCTCATTAAGATTTAATAAGCATGGTTTTATGTTATAATACAGATGGAACACAATGAAAAATGATGAAAAATCTTTCATTTAACAAAGCCTTAGTTTAAATTTTTATTTTTTGATATTTGATTGGATTTATGTTAAACACATTCCTAAATCCTGCTAATTAACCATAAGATAATACACTTCATCCCGAGAATTGAACAAAACATCACATTTATTCAGTGTAGAAAAATTCTGTAAAATAAATCAGGAAAGCAAGCTTCTTTCCTCTAAGGCAATCCTTGAGAAAAATTTGCGTACCTAAGACATTCGCTGCACTGCGTATGTCAGGGAGGTTATTCAGAGGGTATTAGGTGGGTTATATCCGCGTTATACCCCCTGTAAATTACCTGTAATCTAACTGTAACCTACAAATATATGAGAATAGAAATACGGAACTTACTAGAAGATACACGTAGATTATAGGAGATATAACGTGAATATAACCTCTCAATATCCTCTGAATAACCTCCCTGACATACCCAGCACTGCTTACATCGTACGCACGCAAATTTTTCTCTAATCCGTTCCCTAATCTCTTTTCTTCCTCCCCAGAAAGAAAGACAGCCCCCAATACACGAACCCGGCCAGAAAAAAACTCACAAACCAAGCGTTATTGTACAGCCCAACAAAAAACCCAGAGGTGTACGACAAAATTCCCACCTTTTTCAAAAACCCCGGCAACACCGGCAATACTCCGGCCACCAACGCCGCCATAGCCACCAAATTATACCCTCTCCAATAATAATACTTCCCCTTCCCATCTTCCTTATACAATTCCTCTACATCCAGCTCCATTCCTTTCACCAGATAATAATCCACAATCATTATCCCACCAATCGGTCCGATCAGCGCAGATGATCCCAGCAACCATGTATACACAAAGCTCTCGCTTGATCCCAACAGCTTCCATGGTTGAAACAACAATCCAATCACTGCCATGACGATTGCACCTCGCCGGAAATTGAAAACAGAGGGATTGAAGTTAATGAGAGCGTTTGCGGGGGCGACCATGTTGGCTGCAATGTTGGTTGTGATGGTGGCGAGGCTGACGCCGATGATGGCGATGAGTTTGATGAGAGGGCCGCCGGGGATTTCAGCGAGGAGATGGATCGGATCGGAGATGAGCCGGCCGAGGATGAGTTGGGTGGAGGAAGTTACAGCGAGGCCGACGAAAGTGAAGAGACCCATGAAAACGGGGAGGCCGATTTGGCCGAGAATTTGGTCGCGTTGCGATCGGGCGTAGCGGGAGAAGTCGGGAATGTTGAGGGCAACTGTGGCCCAGAAGCTGATGTTGGCATTGAGGGCGGGGAAGAAGAGGGGCCAGAACTCCGACGGGGAAAGCCGGGAGGTGAGGGAGAGCATTGGGCCGAAGCCGCCGGAAGAGGAAACGGACCAGAAGAGGAGAGAGGAGGTGAGGAGGATGAGAATTGGAGCAGAGTAAATTTCAAGTTTGCGAATTGCGTTCATTCCGGGCCAGATGAGGGCGATTTGGGCGAGGCAGAAGAAGAGGAAGGAAGCGAATTGGAGTGGGAGAGGGGGATGGGAGAGGGGGAGGAGGAGGAGGAGGAGGGCACGGCCGCCGATCCAGGATTCGATGGAGAACCAGCCGCAAGCGACGAGGGAGCGGAAGAGGGAGGGAAGGAAGGAGCCGCGGGGACCGAAGGTTGAGCGAGCGAGGATGGGGAAGGGAAGGCCGTGGCGGGTGCCGGGGAAGGCGGATAGGGTGAGGGGGAGGAGGAGGAGGAGGTTGGAGAAGGAGACCGTTGCTATGCCTTGCCACCAAGACATGCCGAGGTCAACGAGGGAGCCAGCGAGGTAATAGGAGGGGATGCCTACCACAAGGCTGATCCAGAGGCTTGCAATGTCAAACGCGGTGAAGTTGCGGCGGGAGTGGGGAATCGGGGCGAGATCATCTTTGGAGGAGGAGGAAGCGGAGGAGGGGGAGGAGAGGAGAGGTTTGAGGGATGGAGAGTGGTGATGTTGGAGGTGGACGGGACTGGAGAAATTGGAGGGGAAGAAGGGACGGAGTTCGCCGTGGCGGCGAGGGTTGGATGTGTTGCACAGGCGGAGAGGAAAAAAGAAAAGGTTTTGGTGATGGTGGTGATGAAGGAGGCGAGATTCCATGGTTTTACTTTAGGGTTGGAGGGTCAGAAATGAGTGGTATTTTTAATTTAAGGAAAAAATAGACAATTGTCTTTTTACATAATTAAATGAATAATGAGACTCATCCCAATGGATGGGAAAATCATGCAAAATTTTAATTCTATCCTGATTTCAGTTGTTGTCCTATCTTAAAAATATTTTAACTCTATTTAATTTTAGAGATAATTTCAATACTATTATTTTATAAAATATGATAAAATTTTAATGAAGGTGACATTTCTTTTCTATCTATTTAGTATAATATTTTAAACAACAGGTGACATTTCTTTTCTATCTATTTAGTATAATATATGAAACAACATAACAACAACAACAACAACAATAACAACAACAACAACAAAGTCGTAGTCCCACTACGTAGGGTGGGCTACATGAATCCTTTTTCTCCGTTGCGTCCTATTTCGTGTCATATTTTCATTCAGTTCTAATAAACTAAGATAATTTTTTTACATAATAAGCCCAAGTTTTCCTAGGTCTACCTGTGCCTTTCTTAACATATGTCAGCCTTTCTTAACATATGTCAAATCTAAAACATCTACTCTCCTAATATGATCATCAGATGGTCGACGCTTAATGTGACCAAACCATCTAAGACGACTTTTTCTAATTTTGTCCGTCACAGGAGCTACACCAACCCTATCACGGGTTACCACTTACAACCTCTGCCTTTCTTAAAATAAGTTTTGGTTAGGGATTATACAACCAAGACAGATTAGGATTATTGGAGTAAACAACATGTTGTTGGCATCATAATGACCATGCTTAGGATGTTCATGTCTCGGAGCAATTTAAAGAGTTCAAAGTTTTCTCTCCTTGAATTCAATGTATTCTTTTTTTTCTACTTGATATTTAAGTTTTTTAATATAAATATTTCCTTTTTTCTTCAATAAATTACATTTTACTTGTAGCAATATATTTAAGAAATGAAGAATGAGATTTATCTAGCAAGCGGCAATTCACTTAAATCGCCGCAAGTTCACTATTTTAGATAAAATTTGGAATTTTTTTTCTTGTTATAATCAAGCGATCTTGTTGTTCCTGGAGTGCACATGAAGTATCCCAAACATGTTAAAGCATGCAAAGAACAAATTACATGAAAATCATCAAATTCCCTTCCCCACCATTTCCCCATCTATATAACCCCCACATTCCCTCTCCTCCCCAACCCAGCAGCCGCCAACCATGGCTCCCCAACCCTTTCCCCCCACCATTGGCCCCGTCAAACGCCGCTACCGCCCGCTTCGCTGCCTCGCCTTCCTCCTCATCTCCCTCATCATCTTCTTCGGCCTCGTCATCCTCATCTTCTACCTCTCTGTCCGCCCCACCACTATCTCCTACTCCGTCGACGACGCCCACATCCGCAACTACAACCTCTCCTCCGGCGAACTCAACGCCACCTTCGACTTCACACTCCTCGCCCCCGCACCCATCTACTACGACTCCGTCGCCGTTGCCGTCTGGTACGACGACCAAATGCTAGCTTTTCGTGAACTGCCACCGTTCTACCAGCCAAAGCGGAACGCGACGCGGCTTGTGCTTGCGTTGTCGGCGACGGCGGCACCTCTGTTGGGGCCGGTGGCGGAGGGGCTGAAGCATGACAGGTCGGCAGGAGAGGTGGCGTTGGAGGTGAGGGTGAGGGCGCTGATAAGGTTTAAGGTTGGGGCGGCGAAGACGAAGCATTATGTCATGAGAGTGTACTGTGCGCCGGTGGTGGTGAGATTCTCGCCGGCGGAGGGTTTCCAGAGGTCGTTTTGCGATGTGGATGTGTGATTAGTTTGCATTTTAGTAAAGACTTTTAATTCATGTTGGAATTTGGGTGTCATTAGGTAAAATCATAAATGCAAGGTTTCCTTTCTTCTTTTTTTCATATTTATGTGTGAAGGATGCACGCAGCTCTTCGTGCGTAATCTCCTCTCAATAACTCATCAATAACCTCTGCGAAGGCTATTGGGAGGTTATTGCAGAGTTATTTCGGCATTATTTGAAGTCAATACCATAACACTAGAGAAAATGTGAAAGTTTAACCGCAGAATCTGAAAGTGTAACCACGGAGGGTATTGACTCCAAATAATGCCGAAATAACTCCGCAATAATCCCGCCGATAATCTTCACAGGGGTTATTGAGCGGTAATTCGGAGGGGATTAAGCACGGAGAGCTGTGTGCGTTTTTCGTACGTAAAATTTTTTTCGTAATTGTGACAATTTGATTTTATTTTTTATTTTTTTTTGTTTGAAACTTTTGTATTTTAAATATATATATATTAGTTAGGGTTGATGATTATTACATTTTTTGGTTAAAATTATTGCTAATTCATTTGTATATCATCTGACATTAATATTGTGTGCATAGCATCATATAGTCAGTTGAGAATGAAAGTAGATTTATGGTGAGCTACGTCATGTTAAGCAGAATTTAATTTTTTGCTATTTGATTAATTAACATTAAGTATTAATCTAGTTTTATTAATTATGCAATTTTTTCGTGTAAATTTTAAAAATTTTGATTTATATGAATTTCACATAATTTTTTATTTTCTAAAGTTAAATAATAAAGTATTATTGTTTGCTATTGATTTTTTTAATAGCACCATCTACATGATAAATAAGTTGTGTGGGAAGATTCGCAGTTGTACAGTGATAATTTAACATCTTAGCATTGTATGAAAATTCAGCACGCACAAAATATATTAAAAAATTAACATGATGAGACAATATAATTTTTTTAAGTGGAAAGATTCTGAAAAATGGAAAAAATCGTGGAATCTAGTTCAGTCAAATTAATCTGCCAATCTCCAATGGGACAGATAGAGATGGTTTCAGCTGTGGAGCCCTTCTTGTCAGAGTGCACTCTAGCAGAACCTTACGAATTTTGCAGGGAGTGTGATGCTCCTTCAAAAGAGAGCATCATAATCCATGTGATGCAGAGACTCGAAGATTACCAAGATGTAGAGCAGTAATTGTCACAGTTCGTACAGCCCAAACGATTACAGATCATCTCAGAAGAAGAATTGGAGAGATTTCAAGAGAACTGTCAGAAGCGTTTTGAAAATTTTGAGTTAATACAGGGAAAATATGTTAATATTCTTGAAGGATTGGAGCTATACACTGATGTCTTTTCATACACTGAGTAAGGGAGGATAGTGGACTGTGTATTCCACCTTAGGGACTTGGGTCGTGCAGGTCGTTTGAAGAGGAAGACATATTCTAAGCCGCAAAGGTGGATGTGCGCAAAGGGGTAGATCACAATTTAGTGTGGATGTTGCAATAACTTCATCATCAACAAGAAAGGGATTCCCCCAGGCATCTTGAGACATGATAAAGTAGATCTGATGTCTTTTGTAATAAAGAAGATGATCAAGAGAATGGTCTCCTGGCACGTCCTACTAGCAAACTATGTCTCCAATAGTTGCATTATCAATATCTACAAAGAGGGTGATTGCATACCGCCCCACATAGATCATCATGATTTTGTCAGGCCCTTCATCACGGAATCATTCATTAGCAAATGTGACATAATGTTTAGAAAAAGAGCTGGATATTGTTAGACCAAGAGAATTTCGAGGATCGGTGAGAATTCCCTTGTTTGTGGGGTCTATCCTAGTACTTAAGAGGAATGGAGCTGACCTGGCTAAGCATTGTATCCCATGCGTACCACGAAGAAGGATGTTTGTTACTTTCAGGAGGATGGACGACAGCAAGGTGTCATATGGATACCGTCTTGACCCAGATCTCGAAGGAATACATCCTTTGAAGTTGTGAGATAGCACGCTTCTAAGCGTATACAAAGGGACTTTTGTCCTGGAGTATGCCTTAGGAGGATGGTTAGTCTCCACAATTCCAAACAACAGGGGTGGACACAGTAGATGGCCCAAAGATAGAGATTGCTCTTCGAATACAAATGTTACTTCATATGTTTTCCATGATGCACACCAGACAGCAGGATTAGATTGTATTTTGATGCATTAGATTTTCTAAAGAATAACAAAGTTTGCTTTTAACAACATGTGTGAGTGATTCAATGTCGTTGGACTAAGGGTCAGTTTGGGGCAGCTGCAGCTTATTGAATAATTTGTTAATAAGCTGATTAAAAATAATCTGCTGATAAGTTAGGTGCGGTGGCTATTATAAACTTTTATTTATTTGGAAAAGTCAGACCACAACCAAAAAGTTGCCACCGCATCTATCTAGGTGCGGTGTGAAAACGTTTTTTTTAGCGTTCTGAAAACGTAGAAGCTGCCAAAATGCAGTTTACCCAAACAGACCTAGTACGGTTTTAAAATACCACCGCACCAAATAAGCTGCCCCAAACGGGCCCTAAATCTTGGAATCAGTCTTACAAATACTAACGAACAAACAATGGTATCAAAAGAAAAAATATCTTTATATACATTTTAATAATAAAAATCACACAGAGTACTTAAAAAAAACAAAACATCAAATTTGAAACACTTTCACGAAATCGACAATCCCAAGACCAACGCTCATGAAATCTTTACATGCACAAGATTCATACATTCACGAATGAAAGCAAAAATTAGCATCTCTTCTCGTTCATCACAAGTTACACTCATTCACAAATTCCCACAACTCTATCACTTCACCGCATCTCGTCACCTTTTTACTTTTGTTTGGGTTGGATACCAAGTCTTCAGACCTTCCTTCCCAACAAAGTGTGATTCTCCACCTCTTAGGTTGAGCAAGAAGTCTTCAGACCGTCCCTTCCTAATGTGAAAATCTTCACCTCTTAGTTTGGGTAACAAGTCCTCGAACCGTCCCTTCCTAATGTGCAATTCTTCACCTCCAACGTTAGGCAACATGTGTTCGGGTCGTCCCTTCCCAATGTGCAATTCTTCACTTCTTAGGTTGGACAACAAGTCTTCAGACCGTTCCTTACTGATGTAAGATTCTCCACCTCTTAGGTTGGACAACAAGTTTTCAGACCATCCCTTCCTAATGTGCAATTCTCCACCTCTTAGGTTGGGCAACAAGTCCTTATTCTTCACCTCTTAGGTTGGGCAACAAGTTTTCGGACCATCCCTTCTTAATGTGCGATTCTCCACCTCTTAGGTTGGGCAACAAGTTTTCGAACCGCCCCTTCCTAATGTGCACGCAACAAGTCTTCAGACCTTCCCTTTCTAATGTGTGATTCTCCAGCTCTTAGGTTGGGCAACAAGTTTTCAGACCGTCCCTTCCTAATGTGCAATTCTCCACCTCTTAGGTTGGGCAACATGTTTTCGAACTGTCCCTTCCTTATGTGGAATTCTCCACCTCTTAGGTTGGTCAACAAGTCTTCATATCGTCCCTTCTTAATGTGCAATTCTTCACCTCTTAGGTTGGGTAACAAGTCTTCAGACCGTCCCTCCTAAAGTGCATTTCTCCACCTCTTAGGTTGGGCAACAAGCCATCGAACTGTCCCTTCCTAATGTACAATTCTTCACGTATTTGGTTGAGCAACAAGTGTTAAGACCGTCCATTCTTAATGTGCAATTTTTCACCTCTTAAGTTAGGATACTACATCTTTTGGGATTTCCCTTCTTAATGAGCATTTCTTCACCTCTTAGGTTGGGATTCCACATCCTCCAGGATCTCCCTTTCTAATGTGCAATTCTCTACCACATAGGTTGGGCAACAAGTCTTCAGATTGTCCCTTCCTAATGTGCAGTTCTCCACCTCTTAGGCTGGGCAAAAAGTCTTTGAACCGTCCATTCCTAATGTGCAATTCTCCAACTCTTATGTTGGGCAACAAGTTTTCGGACCATCCCTTACTAATGTGCAATTCTCTACCTCTTAAGTTGGGCAATGCTCCGACCCTAAATTACATAGATATTTATGTTCCTTAATATGCCAAAAACTTGAGCCAAGCTTATATTTAGTGGTCAGTGAAATCAAATGTAATATGATTTAAATTAAAGAAATAATTTTCTCACTAGGGGTACTATACAAGAAATAATTTTTTCACTAGGGGTACTACACAAATAATATAGAGTTATCTTTAAAAACCCCAGTATCGATCCCTATGAAATACAACAAAAGTCATCTAGAATCTTATCTAGACATACATAGCTTACCTTTAATACTCACCACTAATAAAGAGACCCAATTTGTTGATCAGAGATAAGAGATTTCTGTTAATGTCAAAGAATCAACTTCATATTTGCGCCGATAGATCGCCCTCAGACAAACATGAAAGTAAAGGTTGGAAACAAGATCATCATAACTCTTTTGAGGAAGAAGGAAAAAGGTGCAAGAGGTAATTCAACAGGCTTGCTCCTGTCTATCCTATGGGTTGTCCAAACCACTTCATCATTAGTGGCTGAGCAAACACCTTACATGCTTTCACACATAATGGAAGTGTTGCTACCAGTTGAAAAGAGACAACATAGCCCTAGAGTTGTCACTGCAATCTTTCGACGAAGAAAATCTCACTGATTGGGAAGATGCAAATAGTGAAGAAGTGACATTCGCCCTCGATCTATTAGAAAAAAATTGAAACAATGCAGCACTCTGATAGGAGGAGGTAAAAAGAACTACTCGATACTACAACAACACTGTCAGAGAAAGAACATTCTCACCCGAAAACTGACCCAACCCGCAATTACATAGTTATTTAGTTTTTTGGCAAAAAACTTGACATTATTTCTTTAAGCAGATAGTGTACAAAAATGGATATGTTATAGAGTTTAGAATTTAATTTAAAGTTAACATACTAGGGGTTCTACGCAAGTATATGTATCGTTCAAATAATATAGGGTTTTCTTTAAAACCTGGAGTATCGATCCTACAGAGAAGCGAGGTAAGAAATCACTTCCGCTTAGTTCTAATCTACTACTATTATGTCTTAGTTTAGAATGTCGATTAAGGATGCTTTTCTAATAACTGCTCCTAAATACAAACTTAAATCTAAAAATAAACCTAACTAGATAAATTGATTTGATAAATTTTGCGATGTAACAAACTACCTTCCTCTTGTGATGTCCTAGAAAATGTGTAGGAATGGGATGCTTATAATCTAGTATGGACAGTGAAAATAGGAGCAAAAATCTAAGTTACCCAATTTTGAGTGTATAACGTTGCTTAGTTAACCTAGGGTCAATTCCTTAATCTACTAGATTCTCATGACGAAACTTCCAGTCTATCACTTTAGAGTCACCTTCTCCTAATAAACCTCTAATTGGCTCAATCATAGATTTAAGG